GGCTCTTACTATCACTTTCAGTTGATATAAACATAATAGCGGCAACAATTTAGTTGTCACTTCCAGAGACCTGGCCTTGCTAAATGTGAATATACTGTATGAAGGGAAATGGAATGGTTGTGTACTTTGAGGTTTTCTTGTGTACTTTATGAGTTTGGGGAAGGCTAAGGAGGTCCGTACCGCTCTCTGGCACTGGCAGACCTCACCATAAATTAAAGAATAGTGAAGGAGATTAGAATAGAAGTGGAGAGGGTACATGTGGATAACAAATAGCATAAGCAGAAGTATGAAGGTTTGGTGAGTCTAAAGAGTGTGGGAACGGAAATTACGTAGCTCATTTCAGGTCCAGCTCGCAAACCTAAGATAATTCCCTTATCTCTATGTATCAGCACTTTTTGCTCTTCTTGTGGACATTGCTGTTTTTATAACTTTGACCTAAAAAAGTTTACTTTGAATGCCTTGGTTCATATTCCAAGCAAGAAAGCAGTCATTGATAAGCACTGTATTAGGCTTTTTAAAATCACTTACAAATGCAGTAATGCTGAAATATTATCCAAAGTCTTAACTTACAAACATTGTGTCTTGTTCTGAATCTGTCTAATACTTCCTTATTATAGCTCTGAAATAGCAGCAGCAGCAGCAAAGGTACAGTACAGGCAAACTTAATGCAAGGATAGATGGGCCAGGGAAGCATGTGTGGTCTTACATAAAGGCCAGATGGTCCCAAAGAGGCATGTGATGGAGGGATATGGAAAAAGGAGTGTCTGTCTGATGGACTGACCAGGGGACACCCGGAAGCCAATGCCACAGGCTACAACACTTGGGTAGAGAGAAGCAGATGTTAGGGTCAGTCAAAGGAGATGGAGTTCAGCTTATGCCCAGAGGGTTATATGATGTTAATAAGGTTGATACTGCTCAGATATCTACTGGGGCTGGTCCTTCCAACAGCTCATACTTTCTGCTGACCTCCAGTTGATTCAAGATTTATTCCCTAACCCCCTGATACACTTGTTAAATTTCTTAAATTTGTGATTTTTTTTCCTCAGAAGTCTGTTTAAATACTGAGAATTTGCTTTCCATTTCCACGCACCATAAAACTTGTCAACAACTTGCAGCGAAATGTATGAATGCAGTCATGAACTGAGTCACATACCGGTAGCTGGAAAGATCAAAAGTAAGAACACAACAAGAGCTTTTCAAGTCACAGGAGATCTCACCTGTTGCATATTGTGTTGCTCATTAGACATTTTAGAAAGCTGAAAATGATTCACTATAATGCATTTTGGCTTTGCTGGAATTGTAGACATGTTACCAAATGGTTACTGCACCATGTACACATTTGTCCCAGGTCTCCCTTTCTCCATATCTCAGTCTCCCCATTTCCTGTCTGCCTCTCTGCAACCCAGTGACAAAACAAGGAAAAAATGTCCAAAAAATGACTTTATAAAAGTCAGTGTGCTGTGACTGAATAATTGTAACTGAAAGCAGAAACTGTGTGTGCTCAAATTAATGAAGAAGCAGTCTTTAGTATGGAAGGGGCACATCTGGACTGATGTGCTAGAAGCTTAAAATCTTTACTATCTCTACACCAATTAGGCAGAGAACATAAGACCTTTTATAACAACAGAATGATGATGTTCATACTGTTCATACAGATTTTTTATGGCTTTGAGCCATGAAAAATATTGTGGCGCTCCACTGGTTCAGATGAGCGGAGCTGGCCTGACCCTATCCTAAACTGTGACATCTAACTATCCAGCTGTGTGCTGGCACCTAGGCTGACATTGAGGAGAACACCTTCTCTGTCTTTTCTTGGCTTTTATTGAACAGAATAAGAATGCAAAATGAAACTGC